TGATCATCACAGGCAAAATCTTTGTAGCTCACCCCTCTCCACAACAAGATCAACAAAAATCATAGCCACGAACATATGAAGAGATGTCCACAGAGCTTAAACCTGCAACAGCTGATTTTTTCAGCCACTTTGTTGTATATAGTGTGAACCAAACACTGGCCCAGGTCCACTTTCCACACTCTTTGTTTGTTTATGATGCTTTTATGAACCATTTCTGTGAGTCTGCATATCTTCAGACTCTCATGAGGGACTTGTTAATGGTTAATAGGGAAATTGGTGACGCACGTACATGGTTGTCCTCCCCCTCAAATACATCACACAAACCAAGCATGAACGGTGCAGGGAAGAAATCTGCTATGAAGTTTATCTTCAATTTATCTTCTCTTTTTGTTTTTTGTTTACTGGTGATGTGTTGTTTCCAAGCAATGGTGCTGCCACTATAGTGTGTTTCATTCCTCATTTTTATACCATTTCAAGTCCTCATGAACTCAAACATTCAGGTCAGTTCAGTCTGTGAGGGTTTAGTTCTAAGGCCTCAGGACTCAGAACTAAGTCTGACTGACACAAGAATTTAGAAAGATACAGCAGTGATTTAGTATTGTTCTTCTATCTGTCACATCGATCAGACTTTATGGCTCAATGTTGAAACACAGACTTTCTGCCTCTTAAGGTAAAGCTGAGATAACTTCTGTTGACTTGGCAAATACAAGTCTAATATTGACTCTCCTCTTAGTTCTGTTTTTGGTTTTTATCAACTCCTGAGGGAAACATCTCTTTCTTTAGCTGCTGAATGCTCCACTATGTTCACCAGCCAGCTGCAAACCTTGTCTGGGTGCTGAGCAGGCTAGTCTACAGCGAGCCTTTGGAGCTTTATCACCTTTTACAGCAGCCTTCGACTTCTCGCCTAAAACTGAGCTGATAAGAGCAGTGAGACCAAACCAAAACATTAACAATGAGCTAAAACTTGCTTTAAAGTCTCCAATGCTGTGGAGAGTCACCACAGCCAATGACAAGTAGTCATGTGAGCTTCTGTTATTATAAAGATATTGATTGTAGTTTCTTTAGACAAAAGCCCATTAAACTAACCTGTGCAGGACTGGTTTTGATCCCCTGTGCAGAGCCATGATAAAGGTAGACTTTTCCTGCACCGGCATCATCATGTGGAGCTCCAACGGCAATATCTGTGTGAGGGGAAAAAAAAGAGACATTTTATGTATCTGCAGCGGATACAGAAAACATAAATGAGGAACAAAATGTCAGCAAAATTACCTTCATATGAGTCTTGATTGATGTCTCCAGCGTTCTCCACTGCCAGTCCAAACATCGAGTGTTTGGTCCCGTTGAGACGGACAGGAGTGACTCTTTCCCACCTCCCTCCCTTGTTGACGTAGACGTAAACAGCTCCTCCAACGTCTCTGTCCTTCATGTAGAACTGAGGGGCTCCGACAACTATATCTTGCCATCTACATCACAAACAGGAAGTAAGTATTTATCAGTATCACGTAGAAAGAAAGGACACTGGAGTTATAACACATCAGAAAAAGATGTGCACATACAGATTTTTTTCTCGTGTGTAGAGGTACTTTTGTATGTCTTGTAACTTGATTATATTATGTGACAAAATCTGTTTGTCAGTATGATTAAATTCTATGTATGCGCAAGTAAAAGGCTACGTACCCGTCAGCATTCAGGTCCAACACAGCCACGTCGTATCCAAAGGAGGATGCTAGTCCCGGCCCATACAGAGTGTGTTCCACCATGAGTCTGGTGGAGGTGTCGCTCTCTTTCTTCAGCAGGACCACAGCTCCACTGTGATTGGCTCTTGGCGCTCCAGCCACCACCGTCAGGCCACGGCCCTTGGTGATGCGATGTCCCGAATCGAGGGAGAATCCTAAAGTGTGAGAGATGTTTTTATTCTATCTTTCTTTTCCAGTTTTTGTTCTGTTGTGAGATCAACGCTAATGTAACTTCCATTGTTGTAAACAGCATAGACATTGGTGTTAATCGACCAAGACCATCCAGCACCTCACTACAACCTGCAAAAATTCATCCCATCTCTGTGCAAGTTCCCTGACCAACCAGTAGGAGACGCTACTGCTGCAACTAGAACATCATTCACTGTGGCCAAGTTTCATTGAAATAAGGTTATCAGTAATATGTCTTCTAAGTTTCTTTACATGTCTTTCTAAAAAAAATTAAAGCCACTAAAGACAAGGCAGCTCTTGTCTCTTCTAATCAAGGGGAAGACAAGTGTGTCTGCATGTAGTTTTGCTTTTTGAATGAATCCTGCTAAACTGAAAACCGATTCGTTGTCAGCCATTAAATACATTGCCAACTCTTTTGATAATTAAATAACTGGTTTCACTTTTTTTTCATTAATTTTCTGACATTTTATGGACTAAACAACGAATCAGTTATTTAAAAGCAAAATCAACAGATTAGCTCCCAGAACCCTAAAACTCTGAGTTTAAAAGGCATTTTTATCACCAAAATTACAAAAGTTTTTCCCAGCCAAAAACTGTAAAAACATAAAAAATCGTTGGATTTTTAACTTTGCAAGGGTCCCTGAACACAGCATGCATGATGTGGGGGTTTATATGGAAACAAATGTAAGCTTAAAATCATGACATTTCATCAAAATCACTTTATTGTACATGCCTCAATAGAAAAAATGATTAAAAACCTCTCTTCTCTTTCCAAGTTTGATAACAAACAAAAACATTCTGTGTTCCTTTACACAACTGTTAAGCCATGAATAATGTTAACAGTTTTTGTAAAATACGTAATCAAAGAAATTCAATTTTAGCTTTTTTTTCTTTTTTTATGATTTATGGAATTATAACTGTGTCCTACTCCACAAAAGACACGTTGAGTTCTCTCTGATTCTATCCATGGTTGTGCAGAACTTCATAATCAGTGAAAAATGAGCCCACAGTGAGTAAAAATGTTGCAGGAAATGTCCAGAAACTTGGGGTTTAGAGGGTTAATCAGCGATTATTGCTAGTTGCATCCCTATAGACAACTCACCGAGGTAGCTGTTGGCAGGTACTGGCACCAGCTCAGCATTCAAGAGATGCTCATCCCCGACTTCGTACGGACCATCATCATACACTCCCATTTCCAGCAAAGTATTATTCTTTTGCTCCACTCGAACAACTCCTAAAAAGACAGTCCATATTGGCATAAATGAGAAAAGTGTAATTTAGAATTTAGGATATTAAACTGCGTGTACAGAACTCAATTCTACCAATAAATACAGAAAGGACACTGTGTAGTTATGGTTAGTTAGATACAGTTAGCTGTTGACCTTTCCAGTTGTATGCTCCTGGTGCTCCAAACATCACATAGTGGTAGTCTTTGGTAAAAGTGGCAGCCAGACCCTGCTGGCATGATCCAAACATCTCATGGCCTCTGGCTCTGCCCTCACAGAAGTTCCAGTTGCCTCCATCCTCATCGGAGGACGCATCAATGGTCAGGTCCTGACTCAGGACGTAGCAGCGCCCGGTGATGTCATGAGACTCCTGAGGCGTGTTCACAAACAAGCGCCTCTGATAGCGGTGAGCACACGTCTGAAATGTCAAAATACAGCTGTGTTTGAGTTCATACCTTCATCAGAATGGGACCAGGTCAAGAGGACACTGGGAACAATGGTTCAGATACTTAGTTGGACTCACCACAATCTTTCCCCCAGGTCCCTGGCTCTGCACAGTCACCCCCATCCACTGATTCTCTTTATTCTCAAAACGAGGGTCCTCTGAAAATTTAGCAAGACAGTGATATGTGTACTCACACTCAGAGATATGGGAAAACATTCTTAAACAAACACTCCACTAACAAGCTTTGGTGCTTTCAAAACGTCACAACTGGGTAATTCTATCTAAAATTATTAGGGGTTTCTGCCTGACCATGTCTGATTTGCTGGAAACATTTTTATTATGAACTAAGGATATTTAAAATAGTACATGTCTTTGAAATTTCAGCTTGATATATTGAGTACTTTCTGAGATTTGTGGGGTCC